TTGCCCCCAGCGTGGGAAAGCGTGGTTAGATCCGACTTGTGTTTAAGGGCACTATTCAACTTTGTTGAAACTTACCCCTCTATCTTGAGTGGCACCTGGATCTTATAAAGGGTGAAGCGTTTTATTATTATTATTATTATTATTATTATTATTATTATTATTATTATTATTCCTCTTGATTCCTTGTGGAACATAGGGCAGCAACAACACCTCTCTAACGGACGCGTCCATATCGTCCCCTCTGCGTCAACACTTCTGTGCCAAGCCTGTTTTTGATTCCAGTCAATGGCCTGCCTGGTGACGCTAGAACCACTCTTGCGGAGAGTGTGGCCTTCCATCCCCATTTCTGTTTCTTGATGTCAATCTCAATTGGGGCTTGTCTGGTCCTATCCCACAATTAGTCATTGGAGATGACTCCCCTTGTGGATTCCAGTCAAGGGCCTGCCTGGTAACATTTGAAGCAGGTTTGCGGAGTGTGTGAACGGTCCATACCCATATCCGTTTCTTGACGTCTATCCCAATTGGGGCTTGTCTGGTCCTGTCCCACGGTTGCTCGTTGCCAACAACTTCTGGCCACCTGATATTGAGAATTATTTGGTAAATGTCTGAAACATGAAGGTGTTGGTCTTGATTACACGTCAGGTTTCTGATTGTTTGCAGGAAATTAATAATTTTTACTCATGCTTTTTTATTGTTCTCTATCTTTAATAGTGCTTTCTTTTATTCTCTCACACAAAGTAGCCCCCTTGTGTCTTAGTGGTTTTATTGCCTTGCTTAGGATGAAATCATTTTAAAAAAAGATCAAAACAATATGAGTGCTACAAATGGTGAATAATGACCTCGCAAGAATACATAAATCGCAAGTACAACATAACTCGCTGGGAATGCATAAACTATTTCTTTTACTAAATGTTCACCAAATACAAGGCGCAAGAGCCCGTCAAGGTAGACGGTTACTAAATAAAAGAACCAGAAACTCAATCGTAAACAGGATACAAGGGATAAACCTCGACTGCCGTTCAAGAGAACGAGGGAGACTGAGAACCGTATGATAGGTAACCCTATCTACTTAGATCAGTTTTCAGAGTATACAGCCTTAACTGTACACTTCATCATGGCTCGAGACGCCCCACCAGAAACTACTTCATAGTCCAGATCCCATTTACAAAATAGCAGTACAAAAACCCTGATATTATACATTTCTAAGAAGACTATCCTGTCTTCTTAGCAATTACTGAGTGGGCACTGTCGACTACCGCGTGGAGACAGTCTATTTCATGTTTCAGATTGGCCGAAGATCGCGTTCGCGTATGAAACACACTGTCACCACTCGGTTTAAACCTTAGTGTTCATAACCTCTCTCTCTCTCTCTCTCTCTCTCTCTCTCTGATAAAGAGGACCTTTACCTATAAATATAGCTTACCATAAAATGATATTTTTATTATATACAGTGTAACCCGGATATAAGAGACCCGGATATAAGAGAAACCCGGATATAAGAGAGATTTTCTCTGGTCCCAAATTAGAGCCTGTGTTAATGTAAACAAAATAGACCAAACCCGGATATAAGAGAAACCCGGATATAAGAGACGTCTTCTCCGGTCCCGACAACTCTCTTATATCCGGGTTACACTGTATATATATGTTTGTGTAGGTGTATGTAGTAGTGTGTTCTGAAAGTAATGACGCTTAACCAGAATTGATATAAAAAACAATGTTAGTTACATTTATTTAAATATTATTTATGGAAAATGTAATCACCGTAATTTCCAATGACTGTGGCTCAAAATAAAATAAAATTTTCGATTGTATGCTTTAAAAATCTGGGATTATTCTCGGAAAAAATTAAACAGTTTTTGCCTCCTTATTCCCGAATCTTCAACTTATGAAAATTAAACTTTTTAGCGATTGAAAAGGATGAAAAGCAACAGGTACCAAATCTTGTTAGTGTGGTCGACCCTCTCATCCTAACCGTGTTAATTGTCTTGTGATTTTGCAGAGTGTGCCCTTAGATTGGGATACGGAAAAATAACACCTTTCTGTTTGCCAAAGCAGGACAGTTACGACGTTATGATTTCTTTACCCGTTCATGTTGCTAAGGCACGGAAATTTGACTTTCAAGCGGATAATGTTCACCTCGAAAATGTTTAACTCCAGGAGCCTTAATGAAGGGGTAAAAATTCCTGGTAAAATAATACAATCATCGTTCTTGGAGTGAACACGTGTCGTCTACCCAGAAGATTAAATCAGTAGAACTTCTTGAGACCTAAACATGATGTGAGGCACCGAGTCAAAATTTCTCGCCCATGAGAATCGAATAAAGAGGGGGGGGTCACAAAGGTTGCTCGAAGATGAACTGACACCCCCTACCCCACACCTTCCGACGAAAGAACGAAACTTTCAACAAATTCACCGCACAGAAGCTACAACACGGTCATCGTGACTCTGTTGTATCAATATTAGCTAAACACTAAGGTTGATCTTTTGGGGCTTAATATGG